TCAGGTTGTTTCCATAATTCTTCCCATCAACACAGATGAACTTGCTATGCCTGGATGATAAAGAAAACGGACTACACCTGTAAAATTTGAAAGGTAACCACGGATTGGCGTAATTTCAAGCTTTTGCACGCCTTGCGATCTCACCCCAGCACGCCACTGACTGAGAATGAATCTCTTGTATTGTGGGCATAATCATTCTAATTCTACACTTGGCGCAATGAATAGTGTTCATCCTTTGATTTCATTCTATCCTTTCATTGCAATTCACGACTACTAGCTCTATCACTATCAGACATCCTCCCTAACATTTTCAATGAATAAGTATAAAAATAATTCTTTCTTCATTTTCTTCTCTTTCTCCTCTCCTTTCCCTCACCCTCTGCCTGACCCTCTCCTTCTTCCTCTGCCTCTGCCTCACACTCTGCGTCTCCTTCACACTCTGCCTCACCCTCCTTCTTCCTCTCCCTCTGCCTCACCCCCTTCCTCTCCCTCTGCTCACCTCACCCTCTGCCTCACCCTCTTCCTCTCCCTCTGCCTCACCCTCACCCTCTGCCTCTGCCTGTCCCTCACAGTCTGCCCCACCCTCTTCCTCTCCCCCTCTCTTTTCCAAAATCAGGGAAAAATGAAAATGGCTTCCCAAAAGGTTCCCAAAAGGCTCCCAAAGGCCCATCACTCTGCACTCACGCCTCTCGCAGTGGTCGCCCAGGAATCCCTCGGGGCAGTGGCACGTGTTCTTGTTGACGCAGCGCCCCCCGTTGAGGCAAGGCGGCGAGCACACGGGCCGGCACCTCACGTCCATGGACGCCTTGAACCCGAGGTCGAAGTCCCACACGCCGGCCCTGCAGGAGGCAAGGATGTGCGAACTCCCGTCCAGGAGCCGGTAGCCCGGATCGCAGTCGATGCGGTACTCCAACCGCGAGCTGGAGCTGGAAAGGGAAGAAGGATGCGAAGCTTAATATCTCAATTTCAGTTCCAATCTCTCAATCTCTCTCTATCTTCCTCTTGTAGATGTGACAATAAAACAGACTGACTGAACGATGTGCAGAAAAGGGGCTTCATATATACTGGGGGCACTGTCGAATTCAGCGCAATTCTCTTTTAGCCAAGATACACGAGCTTCTTCCTTTTGCGTCTTTGCTGCTAAATCTCAAATTAGTCCTTTTAATTCCCTTAATCATGATTCTCGCCAGCTTCCCCTCCTTTAAAAATCCTGGATTCCCCTATTTGCCCCACTCTACATGGACCTCTAAATACCACTGAATGAGAGAAATGAGAGAGTCACGGAAAATCGTACAGAGGAAGAGGAACAGACAGTTTAATAAAAAAGAAAGATACCAAGTGAAAATGTGGAACAAGGAACGATAGAAATACAGAAGCAAACCCGAACCACATACTGTCACAAAGAGAAAGGGAAGGAAGGAGAAAAAAAACACAGGGAATAGGCCACACCCAAACACACTCACCTGAAGTTACCCAAGGCGTTGCAGAGAAGCTTGGGGGGGTTAATACATCTCTCGTGCTCACACTGGTCTCCCGTGTAGAAAGACGTGCACTTACACTTGTTTGGCGAAATGCACGTTCCGCCGTGCTGACAGGGGGCCTCAGAGCAGTCCGCGAAGCAAGACTGGGGTCGCTTAGTCACGAAGTCCCACTCGCCGTTCACACAGTCGAAGGTCATACTCATCTTGCCCGAAGGGAACTTGAAGCCGGGCTGGCACTTGATCGTCAGCGAGTGGCCTCTGCGGGGGGCGGAAAGAGAGAAGGAAAACCATGGTAATTGGTGGATAATAAGGCAAATGGGGAGGATGGAGAAGTGATGACCATTGGCAGAATGATAAAGGATAGATAGTACAACTTCTGAGTGTGATGATGGCAACAGTCAAGGCCTAAATAAGGCAATTAAGAGCGATGAAAAAGATGAAAGAAAAAGTGATTGTAATAGACAATAATGAAGGCAATTATGAGGGAATTAAATGATGAAAAGGAGCGGAATGATAGCAGACAAAGCGTCAAATAAGGCAACCGATCATAAAGCAATAAACCACGCCAGCAAACCCGACTCACTCGTTAATATAGATGGCGTGGGCGATCGTGGGCGTCAAGGCGTTTATGCAGGACATCCGCTCGCACAGGTCGCCCGAAAAGCCAGGAGGACACAAGCAGTAGTTGGGCGCCACACACGAGCCCCCGTTCTGGCAGGGGCGCTCGCACACGGGCACGCACTTCCCCTCCGGAGTCACCCAGATGCCATCCACGCACTTCTCCACGTAAGTGTTGGTCCCCGTGCTCGTGTGGATGTACCCCGTCGGGCAGTCCTTCCGCACGATCGGCGTGTAGGCGTGCCTTCCGAGGTTCCTGGAGGGAGAAAAGGCTCGTGGCGTTGCAGTCTGAGAGTGGTCCCGGGAACGAGGAAAATGATGGAGAAGAAAGGAGGAGGAGGTGGAAGAGGAGGAGGTAGAGAATGATGGAGAATAAAGGAGAAGTAGAAGGTGGAAGAGGAGGAGGAAGAGGTGCTGGGAACGAGGAAAATGATGGAGAAGAAAGGAGGAGGAGGTGGAAGAGGAGGAGGTAGAGAATGATGGAGAATAAAGGAGAAGTAGAAGGTGGAAGAGGAGGAGGAAGAGAATGTTGGAGAAGAAAGGAGGAGGAAAAGGTGCTGGGAACGAGGAAATTGATGGAGAAGAAAGGAGGAGGTGGTGGAAGAGGAGGAGGAAGATAATGTTGGAGAAGAAAGGAGAAGTAGAAGGAGGAGGAAGGGTGGTGGAGAGAGGAGGAAGAGGAAATGTTGGAGGACGAAGAAGAAGTAGAAGGAGGTGGAGAGGAGGAGGAGGAAGAGAATGTTGGAAGAAAGGAGGAGGTGGAAGAGGTGCCGGGAACGAGGAAAATGATGGAGAAGAAAGGAGAAGTTGAAGGAGGAGGAGGAAGAGATGTTGGAGAGAAAGGAGAAGTAGAAGAGGAGGAGGAGGAGGGAGAAGTAGAAGGAGGAGATAATGATGGAGAAGAAAGGGAAGTAGGAGGGAAGAGAATGTTGGAGGAAAGAAGTAGACGGAGGAGGAGGAGGTGGAAGAGGTGCCGGGAACGAGGAAAATGTTGGAGAAGAAAGAAGAAGGAGGAGGAGGAGGTGGAAGAGGAGGGAGAAGTAGAAGGAGGAAGAGAATGATGGAGAAGAAAGGAAAAGTAGAAGGAGGAGGAGGAGGTGGAAGAGGAGGAGGAGGAAGAGAATGTTGGAGAAGAAAGGAGAAGTAGAAGGAGGAGGAGGAGGAGAGGAGGAGGAGGAGGAGGAGGAGGAGGAGGAGGAGAAGGAGGAGGAGGAAGGAGAAGAAGGAAAAAAGGAGGAATAGGAGAAGAAGGAGAATTGGAAGAATGAACGAGATGGAAGAGGGAGAGAGAAAAAGAAAGAGGAGAAGATGAGAAAAGTGGAAAAAAATAAGAATAAGAAAGGGAATAGAAAAAGGAGTGGGAGAAGGCAGGAGATGGAAAAGAGAGGAGGAAGATGACGAGGAAGAGTAGGACGAGGAGGAAGAGAGGGAGTAGGAAGAGGAGGAGGAGAACGAGCAGGAAGAGGAAGAGGAGAAGGGCGAGGAGGACAAGGAAGGAGAGGAGATGGACGAGGATATAGAGGAAGAGAAGGAGGACGAGGAGGAAAAAGAGGAGGAGAACTGAGGAGAAGACGACGAGAGGAGAAATATAGGAGGAGGAGGAGGAGGAGAAGAGAGGAGGACGAGGAAGAGGAAGCAGATGAGGCAGAGGAGGAGGAGAAAGGGGAGTTAGAAGAGGAAGAAGAGGAAAAGGAGGAGGAAAAAGATGTAGAGGAGGAGGAAGAAGAGGAAAAAGAGGAAGATGAGGGATAGGAAGAAAATGAGGAGGCAGAGGAAGAAGAAAATAAGGGAGGAGAAAAGAGATTGTAAATAATAATAATAATAATAATAATAATAATAATAATAATAATAATACAAACAGCAGTAAAAAAAATCAAGAACCAGTCCCTCTCCTTAATTTATTTCTTGGGAGAGTAATAATAATAATCAAGTTGATAAGGTAACGTTAGGTAAAGTTCATGAGGTTAGGTTAGGTTAAATTGATAAGGTTACGTTAGGTTAAGTTGATAAGGTTAGGTTAGGTTAGGTTAAGTTCATGAGGTTAGGTTAGGTTAAATTGATAAGGTTACGTTAGGTTAAGTTGATAAGGTTAGGTTAGGTTAAATTGATAAGGTTACGTTAGGTTAAGTTGATAAGGAAAGGTTAGGTTAAGTTGATAAGATTAGGTTAGCTTAGGTTAAATTGATAAAGTTAGATTAGGTTAAGTTGATGAGGTAGGTTAGGTTAGGTTAGTTATAAGGTTAGGTTAGGTTAAGTTGATAAGGTAAGGTTAGCTTAGGTCAAGTTGTTAAGGTAAGGTTAGGCTAAGTTGATAAGGTAAGGATAGGTTAGGTTAAGTTGATAAGGCAAGGTTAGTTTAGGTTGAGTTGATAAGGTTAGTTTATCTTAAATTGATAACGTTAAGTTAGGTTAAGTTGATGAGATAAGGTTAGGTTAGGTTAGATTAGGTTAAGGGAAGGAAAGGTTCGGTTAGGTTAGGTTAAGTTAAATTAAGGGAAGTTGTTAAAGGTAAGGTAAGGTTAGGTTAGATTAGATTCGGTTAAGGGAAGGTAAACTGTCAAGTACCTGCTTACGTTAACAAGCCTATTAAACGTGAGCAAATTACCGTATATCTTATTGAATACAGTGCATTTCTTTCAAATTTGTCCAAAAAGCCGTTAAAACCTGTACTCTATAAAGTCAAATGAAGGCGATATTTTGAAATTATCTTATAATTAGAGCATAATCATTCTGGGACAACTTTTTATAGCCTACAGACACATAACATTACCATCACGATATATTTCTAACGAAAATAACATCGACGCTTAAACGTTAACCGTCATTTAACCACCTTTTCATTTGTTTTATCTTTTGCAAGTTATTGTTGAGTCCACAATCTCTCTGAACCGTTTTCTCTTCTCTCCTTTCTGAGTTGAGGCAGGAATTACAGATAAGGCGTAGATCTGTGACTGATCAGCGTCTGCATGAAGTGTTTACAGCGGCGTGTGAGTGAAAGTGCACGGTGCGTAGAGAGGGAAAAAGGCTTGTAGAAAGTACGGCCTAATTCTCTCCCAGGGAATTATTCTCAGACGGCAAAAGGTCACCTCAGTCACGTAGAAGATAAGGTACGTCATTCTGCAACTCCTCATGGAAGAGTTCGACTTGATAGAGAAAAGATCAAACGAAATTTTTTTTAAAATTCCCGAGATACGCCAATACAATACAAAGAGGAGAAAATACTTACATTTTCCCGCCGTGGAAGAGCAAATTGGTGCACTTCCGGTACTGGCACTGCGGTCCAGCGAAGCCCTTGGCACAGAAGCACTCCTTGTATCCGTGTCGCGTGAGGAGACAAGTGCCGTCGTTTTGGCACGGAGGGTAGCACACGTACTCGCACGCCGCCACGTCGAAAGGCAGAAGTATATTCCGCCTGGGCACCTCGAACCTCCAGTGGCCGTTCACGCACTTGAAGGAGGCCTGGGGGGAAGAGGGAGAAAGGAAGAGTGAGGGGTTGACGGGGGTGGGGGGAGATGGAAAGGAGGAGGAGGAAAATATTTTTGGTTTGTTACCGCTTCACTAATTTTAGTTTGGTCTCTCTCTCTCTCTCTCTCTCTCTCTCTCTCTCTCTCTCTCTCTCTCTCTCTCTCTCTCTCTCTCTCTCTCTCTCTCTCTCTATCTATCTATCTATCTGTCTGTTTATCTATCTGTGTACCGATCTATGTGTGTGTGTGTATTCTAAATTATGTAGTATCTTTTTGTAAATCAGATGTACGGTGGTATATTTATGTAAGATGAAATAATGTAATGGCACATTGATATAGTGTGTTGAAACTGCGCTATCGTTACTCTAGTGTTATCTACATCTAATAACATCTACTTTTAATGATATCTACTAATAGTGCCTACTTAATAACACATGCTTATATATAATGAACCTTGCTTATAGTACCTACTTATAATATCTATTTAGTCTCTACTTATAATAACATCTACCTATAGGGCCGACTTAAAATAACTACTACTGATATTATCTACTAAGATTACCTACTTAGAATAACATCTACCCATAATCTCCACCATCTCCTTCTCGCCTCCATCCCTTCCACGCCCCTACTTACCCTCCTGGGCCTCTTGGCGCCCTGGAGTGCCTCGTCCAGGCCGGGCACGTTGAAGAAGCTCCCTCGCCAGCACAAGGCCATCGCCTTCGACCCGCACGGCATCCGCCCGCACATGGAACTCTCTTCGGAGCTGTCCTTCCTGCCGGAGAACACGAAGGAGGCGGTGCAAGAAATGGGAGACAGAGAAGTGATGTGGACGCGGTGCGGAAATTGGAGTGAGACTTTAAGGTGGCGGTAATTGCATGAATATTGTCTAACAGAAAAGGAAATTCGAAAGACAAGCAAAACAACATAAAGGCCTAAATTGGGTAAATAAACCCTGAATGAGATTTGACTTCTGAATCCATGTAAAACGATTAAATACATCCCCCGGACCCCAAACGAAAGCCAGTAGACTGAACCCTAACCCCCCAAAAAAATCTCTAAAAGAACGAACAAATAAAGCCGAAATAAGGACCGCCAAACAGACGGAGAAATCGAACGCGAACGGGCACTCACGACTTGACCCAGCGCACGACGGCCCTGGTCACCAGCGGGAGGGACCGACACCCGATGTTCTCACAGGTCTTTCCGGAATACGTAGGGAAGCACTTGCAGTAGGTCCCCAGTCCGTTGCGCTTGACCTTGCACTTCCCGTGGCGACAGCCTGGCTTACACCAAGGCTGGCATGACACGGAACTCCCCTCGGGAAAGTTGACGACGTGCCACTTGTTATCCACACAATTCATGGTCAGAGAAGTGGTGTTGATGGCGGTGCGGTGGAGAGGGAGGCACTCGGCCACAGCATGATATTCGGGTCTGCAGAAGCGGTAAATATTTACATATAAAAAATAAGCATCAACAAGAGAGAACAAAAGTAGACATAAATACCAGTTAATGAATCATCTCTTCAAAGATCCATCGTTAATCAGACATGAAAAAGCAAGTCATAATGGTAAGAATAATCATCACTTATTCCTAACAACATCAAAATCACATCATAGTACACCGAGATTAAACAGAACACACAACCAGGAATTCACAACGGCACAGCCTGACTACTAACAACAATGCCATCAAAATGAACAAAATGAACGGGCCGTAACGTACCTGGCTGACAGAATCCTAATCCTAGCGTTCTTGATTGGCGTTGGGGCATCGTCGCAGCCACCCCGGTCCAGCCGCGTGTCAACTGGAGTGAATTTAGAGGGAGAAATGCTTATAATATGGAAAATGTGAATTTAGATATGCTTATTCAATGGAAATTCACAGTTTAGGTTTGGGGTTTATATGAGTACAGGGTATATACTGATATTTGTTTG